CCCAGGTGGTAAATGAGGCCAATGAACAGCAGCTGTGTCCTGGGGAGAGAGAAGAGCAAGAGAGAGACAGAAGGGTGGAGCAAGAGAGGAAGAGGCGGAGAGAAAACACCACACCCACACAAGGGCAGTTTCAGGAGGCCCAGCTACGACCGTAACACCCCCTCCCATAAATACAAACCAGTGGTTTGGCACAGGATGTCCTACACAAATCTTAAATCTATCACCTACCGTGCACCATAATAACGGTTAGGCATACCCTGCCAAATCTGCCAAGACCTTTTAATGGGTTGAAAACACTGAATGGGGTTGGCTCAAGTCCCTCAACATAGTGGCCCAAGTGACAGCCAGATGTTTTTTGAGCCATCACATATGGAGAACCCAGCGAATAGCTAGAAGGCCTTTCTGAAATACAAAGACGCTTCTTCGCTAGCTCATGGCGACGGGCATGCTGGCTAGGCAGAGGCGCAGGTTGGAATGGTTGTGTCACACACAATCTGTCACACTGTAGGTCATCTGGAAGATGGTCAACAGGTGGCAGCTCAGAATTAGTCGACCTCTGACAGTGACCAAAAGACACCACTGAGCAATTTTGCTCCAATTGTCGTCTCGGACCGGCAACTTTGTCCGTTTGTGAACCACGATTGACTCCTTTCAAAGCAGAGCCTTTTTGCTTTGAGTGGGCTTTCAAACAGTTAGCAACCAGGTGGCCAGGTTTGTGGCAGAAGAAACAGAGCTTTGTTTTGGCTCTTGAAATCACGCCTGTATCAGCTTTGCTAGCTGGCACACTCCTAACCCTCGAGACCAACTGTTTCTGTTTGTAGGCCTCACAATTTGCTATCAAATGGCCAGACCTGAAACAAAAGAAAAACTTTCTTTTCACCTTGGGACGGGACACAGGTACCCCACTCTTTCGGTACTGCACAGCTGGCACATTGCTAACCTTCACTGAGGCATCGCGTCAGTCATGCTTAATGACACTGGTTTTATGGATGAGGGCAAACTCATCAGCCAGTGTTGCAGCCTGCTGTAATGAGGAAACCCTTTGTTC